ATGGATTTGAGGGACATGACTGTAATAATCAGGGATTTCACTTTATATCTACATAGTATCAGGCTTCATATATTTTAAAACAGATCATAAGGAAGCAAATTTTTATTCCTTCTAGGGCACTGCCACAATGTTTTTAAGTTGTAGAAGAAGACAAAAATTTAATTCTTTATCAATCTGTCCTAAAACATGTTTAGCTTGATTCTGAATTCATTCTTTTTAATGGGCTTAAATGAAATTGGTGCTGTACAGGGTTGTTTAATTTTCCAGCTCAATCATATGTATGACTGTCTTAAAGTAAGCTATAAGTTGAACTTTATTCAGCTGAACTTGTCCTGAGTTAATTATGCATAGGATGGCCCCTTTAAATTTACTAAATTTAGGAAAATAATATTTGGAGTAATTTTATTTATACAGCTGCTAATACCACTTTTCGTTAAATTAGATGAATGGTTTAGGAAGGCTAGAACATCCTTCAGGTGCAGTTTATGAAGGTGAGTTCAAGAACAATATGCTACATGGAACAGGAACTTATATATTTTCTAATGGATCCAAGTATACTGGACAGTTCAATGAAAACAAGTAAGTTGAAAAAATTACTGCAAAAATTATATTAGTATCTTTACTATAGTAATATGTCTTGTTTGTATTAGAAAATTAGTCTTGGTTTATGTAACTTGATTTATGTATGTAATGCAAAATATAGTTGATTTGTTTCTGGCTTACTATGTTGTGTCAACCTAGAAGAATCTGACTTAATTTACAGGCCATGGCCTAGCATTCTGTGTTAACCTATCTTTGTAGGTGTATGATCTCTTCAGTTAATATTTCTAGAGCAGAGGCCCCCAACCTTTTGGGCACCAGGGACCGGTTCTGTGGAGAAAGATTTTTCTGCAGAGCGGAAAGGGTGTGGTTTCGTGTGCTGCCTGTATCCCACGGATGGGACTTTGCTTGTTTGTGTGGCCCAGTTGCTGGCATGCTGTGGCCCAGTGCTGGTCCACGGATTGGGGGTTGGAGACTCCTTTTCTAGAGTTAGTCATACTCTCAACATCATGCTGTTTTTGAAGATGATTGGGCTAAATATCTGTAAACTAAAATATCTGTTAACTAATTATTAGCTAATTCCTATATTGGTTCCAGAGCTTGGTCCCAAGACTTTTTAGTCTGAAGGCAAGTAATGCAACAATTAACCAGGCTGCATACTTCACTCAAAGTTCCATTATATAAGTAAGAATATCAGTGTCTATTCTACTCTGATCTTAAACTTTATTTTGTGCGCTGCCTTGATCTGTTTGACAGTTATGTGGTCCTAGAAATATCATAAATACAGAATTATCTATTTATCCGACCCTTGCCCACTCTATGGATCAGCAGTCTCCATGCCCCTCTGTTTCACGCTGCCTCCTTCAAATCTGCCGTGGTTATCCCAGTGTCATCTTTATAGTGTCCAGCCAGCGGGCTCCTTCTCCTTTTTTCCACTGATCACTCCCAGCATGGTTGACTTTTCAAGTGAATCAGCTTTCATGACATGACCAAAGTATGATAGCTTCTGTTTGGCGGTCTTGGCTTCAAGTGATATTTTTGGTGAGGTTCGGTCTAGGGCTTTTTTGTTTGTTATTTTTTGCAGTCCATGGGATTCGTAATAGTCACTTCCAGTACCACAGTTCAGAGATGTCCACCCTTCTCCTATCTGCCTTTTTCAGAATCCAAGTTTCACAGCCATAAGTAGCAATTGGAAAAATTATTGCATTAATTAATCTGCATTTGGTTGTGAGACTGATGTCTTTACTCTTCCAGATGTTATTCATGCCAGACATTGCAGTTCTTCCAAGTGCTATATGCCTGCTGATCTCAGGGCTGCTATCACCACTTTGGTTGATTTTAGAGCCCAGGAAGATGAATGTCTTTACTTTTTAAGAACTGTAGAGAAGACTTGGGATCAATAGAGCTGACAGGATAGAAATATTACCATGTACTGCATAGTTGGTATTTGAAAAGATTTCAAGATTTTAATTTTGCTATTGAAACTCTTTATGTATTTCTTCTATCATTGTTTGAATAATTTTACTGCTCTTTTGTAGTGGTGGTGTTATCTGTCTTAATTTGTTACACCTCTTCTTACTGTTTTATACAGAACGACAGTATAAAAAAACTAATTAAAATAAGTCAATATTACTATTCTAGCAAATTGATGTCTCAAAATACCACTAGGTTGTACATGATTATGGATAATTTATTACTTTTGTTTAACATACTAATTTTGTTTTTATCTTAGGCTGGAAGGGAAAGGAGAATTTACAGACACACAAGGACTGGAATGGGATGGCACCTTTCACTATACAGCAGCACCAGGGTTGAAGCTAAAGTTAGAAATGTAGAATAGTTTGAACTGGTAGAGTAAAATAAAATTTCTGTTAGAGTTTTCAGGCAAATAGTTTTATTTGTAGTTTAATGGAAGTTAACTACTGTTTTTAAAAAATAAAGTTTAAAAATGTAAAATAAAGGTCTATTTATTTATTTAGCTTTCAGAACATCATTTTTTTCTCTTTATTGTACATATAACATGCTAATGTTTAAAATGTTTTGTTCTAATAATCTTTATAAAATTATGAGCAGTTCAATATTATCAGTTTTAACACAGATATTTGGAGAGAATAAGAAGGGTGGAAAACAAGGTAAAATTTAACTGAATCAATACAATAAATAAGTTGTTTAAAGTCTGCCATTTTCATCAGTCTGTTTTAAATTAATACATTAAACATGAACTGAACTTACACCAATGCTTCTAGTGAATTACTTAACTCCAGTTTTGCATAAATCTGGTGTAAAGTATAGCCTAGATATATGGATTTATACTGAGATTTTGTTAATATACCATTTATTTCAGGATTAACAAATATCTAACAAATAAGTTTGTTAAAATAATCCAATATTTTAGCAACAGAATTTCTGAACACAATGAGTTTAACTTTCAGCAGCCTATGGAACTTATGGAGGTTAGTACCATCTCCTTCTCACTTTCATTTCTATCCATATATTAGAATAATTCTGATGACAAAGATGGAAAGAATAATTGTGTTACCACTGATATGAACAGATTTGTAATTCATATTGCAATTTTATTCTTTAAATATCTTTAAACAATAGATAATTATGAGCCAGGATGAACAAATATATTCCAGGCTGGATGCACACTTACTGATATAATGCGGGATCTCAAAACTTCATTGTTTGTACTTGATCAACAGTGCACTGTTGTAAAAAGAACCCTGGAAGACTGAGACTTCCACAAAGTAATTTCCATTTAAACATTAAACATAATGTATAAATTCCAATTTAGTGAAATATTTAGACTGTTTTAACATTACAGGATCATGCATAAAAAATATACTCTAAATTAAGTGTTCTTTTCACTACCATCTGATGTATCTGATGGTCCAATGCCTCCTGGCCCTGTATGTTTGCCTAGCCATACAGACTTCTGAAAATAGTATTTTCTGGATATATTACAGGAAAGCTTTCAGTATGTCAAGTCAACATGGACAGCTGATGTAGTTCATTAAAGAGAGAGGGCCAGCAGATTGGGGGAAGATTAGTAAATTGAATTGATTTATGGTCACATTTGCTGAATAAAAAATACTGGAGAAGTGTACATTCTGCTTTGTTCTAGCTAGATCTTTTACTTTTCCATTTATGAAACACCAGCAGCATTGCTTTAACTACAATTAATGCATACATTTTTGTTGCTACTAAAAAGTAAAAAAATCAAGTAGAATTTTATAATTGAACTAGCTTTTATCAACTGGGATCTTCCATTACCTTAAGGTTTCATGAGAGACCACTAGGAGTTCTACAAGAGATTGTGACTGAAAAATATCATACTTCATTTCTTAATTTGCACACTGCACAGTGATAATATTTAAAGCTGTGTAGGTTAAAGGTGAATTGTATTATAAAGATCTTGCATTTTTTTGCAATTTTTATAGAGATTCCTTGAGACTTGAACATTATTTCAAGGTTCCTCCAGGGTTAAACAGTAAAAATGATTGTTTAAGAAATGTAGCTGCTGTTTTTAACCAGCAGGGAGGATGTGACCTGAGGATTGCATAATTAGAAAAGTTTAGATTAGATATGCTTGGATTTTAAATGAATAATTACTGTGTGATAGACCTACTTCAGAAATCATCAGCTTCTATAGCTACATTTCCCCCTTCATTTGAGACAGTCATTGTTTCAAAGTCAAAAAGGACCTGATACTGTGAGACAGAAAGAGAGCACAGCCAAAGGTAAGTGTAAAATTGATTGTATTTCCACGTTTAATAATTAATAATTAAATGTAATATTGAGAATCAATTTGTTCCTTATATGACACATAAATAGCAAGAGATCCTAGAGTAAAAAGATCTGCTCTGATACATTAGGTAAATGTTCAGCATAATTTTAAAGCTGAAATTCTATATATATTTCACTGACTGGAAATAATTCTATGAGCTATTGACAGATTGTCAAGCTTTGTTTGTTTATCTTTCTTAATATATGGAAAAGTGCTGGGAACTAGTAATCACAGGCACCTGAAACTAGGAACTACAGTAGTGTTTAGCATGCCAGCTAATGCTTCTTCTCTTGTCTCCTAAAAATGCCTTTGAGGACTAAATTGCCAAATATTAAAACATAAAAAAACAAATATAATCTTTCCTCTTTCTTTTAGCATTGATATAACTAGAGATCTAAGATCTTTCTATGACAAAGTTTGTTTGTACTAGCTTCAGATGGTATCCTAGCTATTCCTGCTCTGAATGGGGATTGAAGTTCCAATCTTAATGATACCCTTCCATTTGGATTACTGTAATGTGTTATATAGAGAGCTGCTATTAGAATCTGGATGTTTGAATACAAAAACAAGAATTTAAACTGAGTTTTTGTATTATGCATGTATTGTACAGATATCACCTTCCTTGGTTCTTAATTGCTTCCAACCTCAGATCAATGTATTGCCTTCATTCATCAGATTAAAATATTCATGTCTACCTACTTACTGATATGTACCTATTTTCTCCATAACATGAACCATTTCTGAGAGATTCTGGAAGTAATGTAATGGTCATAGGATTCTTACCCTTGCACCTAGAGAATACAGTAAAGAATATAAAAATAAATAGACACAAAAAACCACGTCCAGACATCTAGGTGGCCTTAACCCTGTTAACCTTTCACAAGGCTCTGAAGACCAGGCTGTTCTTCCAGGTGTTTGGGCTAGGGGGTTAAGCAACCTCTGCTAGTAATGCTGCTTTTATGGTTTAAGTCTATTGTTTTAATTTTGGGTGTCATGGTTTAGATGGTGAAGTGTTGTTTTAATTTTGTATGTTACCCGGTTACTCTTGTGAGATGGGTAGGAGTCACGTAAATAAATAAGTAATCAAACAGTCAGCACAAAAATTATGGCCAGTACAGAGTCTTATTGAGCTATAACTAAAAACAATGAGGATTTAAGAATGGAAGCAGGTTGTTTCTTGATTTGAAAAGCTTCATTGAGAACAGAAGTATCTTGGCTTTCTCTTCTCAGTAAAAACTTTCGTAGAAACTCTTAATGGTACTTGTTTTAGAGAAGAACCAAATACTATATACTACACTGGTAATCAATAACCTCATTATATTTTTTCTTCCATTAAAATTAGGAACTCTTTCATCTAATTCATATGTAAAAGTTCTTCAGAACAATGGGATGGATTTTTCCCCTCAGTAAAATTTCAAAGTGGGAAATATATTGACTGAACCTGAAACAATATCCAACATATTTAAGAAGCATGGACTCAAATAGAAAAGAAGGTAACTAATATATTTAAACTATTTAAATTCTTTTTTATTCTTACATAATTTTAGAAAAACATTCAAAATAGAAGACAAAATATAAAACAAAACAATAATGCTGAAGGAATAATCTGTGATGGAAAATGCTGAAAAAAAATCATGGCTTTGGCATATGGAAGCAAAATGCTGTGCATGTAGAAGCCAATAAGTTCCTGAGCAAAACCTCATTTGAAGAGGTTGCTACCATGAATCCCATAAATTCTGGCCAATATCCAATTTGAGATAAATGTTATTAGAGCTCTGTGTAGTCCTTGTTATTGAGAGGAGAAACAATAAGCCTAAATTGCAAATTATAACTGAAAGTAGTAATAGACATTTATATTCCTGTATCTGTTGTCCAAACCTTGGGAGATTGAATAGACAAATAACAATGAACCATGGATTGGCAATCCAATTTCTGTTGCAGTTCTAAGTGTTAAATGAGACCTCTACTTCTAGAGATAGGACTTTTGTGTATCCTTATTGGACAGGCTTTTTTTCCCTGTTCCAAGGCCTCTTTAGTAGGAATGGGATGAGACAGCTAATTAACAGGAGAAACAAGTCATCACATTAATCAGGAGCACTGATCCTAGGAAGAGAAGGAACCCCATTTTTCAGGTAGGATTCATGTTTTATATGTGTTAATACTTCATTTACAACAGTACCGAACTTCTTTGTCTACTGACAATGATTACAAAAACAAGTCATTGACTTGTGAAGGTTACGCATGTTACAATCGAAAAGAACATCCTCCCCCAATAAATTAAAAACATTGATTGGTATATAAAAGGTTTACATCTCCAATGGCACATCAGAAAACAACCAAAGTGTTGCAAATAGTACCTTTAAGAGTGTCAACAAGAAACATACAAAATAGTAAAAGTTATGGGCTGAATGTTATGATAAAGAAACATACAATATATAAAGGCATGAGTGTTGGAGGGCATGGTAGATATTGAATCAAAGATATGCAATCATGTCATTCCAGAAATTTAAAATTCAGAATTGAAGTAAAAACATTTCATGATGAATAAAATTAAAGTGTGATATCTGTGAAAAAGGGTAGTATGTATTACATATTTTTACTGCTAACCTATCCCAAGTAATTTTGAATCTGCTTTTAATCTTCATTTTAAGTGAGAGAAAGCTGTTGCAGTTCATACTTATAAACTCTTTCTCCAGGTAGTTTCTGACCATTGTGGTAACTCCCCAAACAACCAGAAGAGCTGAAGCAGGTTAAGTGCCTTGTGTTTATTATATTGACCGGAGTCCTAGATTTCAAAGATGCCATCAAAACTTGGCTTTTTCTACAGGCTTTGGAGATGGGAATGTTGTGAGCATCTTTCTCCTGTAATTTGGAGATTAATGATTGCCAGGTTTTTATTTTAGTTCTAGGGCTATGCTTTGTACTGTATTAATACATGTTTTAGGTTTTATGTGTTATTCTAATTAGGATATTTCAGAAGATATTTTACATTAGTGGGTGGGTGGATATTATATAAAAACTGTGCCCAGAAATCCCATTTGCTAGTATTGGCTGAAGTGGAAATTGATTTTAGGATGTTTTCAATTAACTGAGGTCCCCATGGGAAGTAAAACACACAGGATTTAGATTAAAATGAT